GTAAACGGGGGGGGGGGGTGGGCAGAGGGGTACGCGGAGGTTCCGACGTTCGACGTGTCGTCTCTTTTGGCCAATAAAGTAGCAGCGGGAAATTAATCTCATTGGAAAAGACACGTCTCTCTCTCTCTCTCTCTCTCTCTGCTCCTTGGTTTGTCTCTCTCTCTTTCTCTCCTACCCGCAATTTTCGCAACCAGTCGTTTTTACGCGGCGTTTACGAGGCGACAAAGTGCCCCGCCGGCAAAAACTCGCAGTTTAACGAGAGGATTCGTAGTCCGGAGTTGCCGCGCGCGGCGCGCTAACCGATTAGGCGAGGAGGGGAGACGAGACTCGCTACTGTAACCGAGAGCCGGGATATGGGATCATTAATTTAATTTTATTCCGATCCCGCTGATAATTCAGTCCCGGGACCCGACGAAGCTCCGCTATCGGGCACGATTCGATCGACCCGCCGTGATTTATGCGCCTGCGATCTCGCGAGGATCCGACCGAATCGATCAACGCGAGCCGAGAAACTTTTGTTGGTCGCCGAGAGAAAGGGAGAGAGAGAGAGAGAGACCTCGCGACAGCGAAAGAACTGTCGTCTTCGATTATCGAATTTATTGAATTCCGTATCTTCATTCCTGCGGCTTACAAGAAGAAGTCTCCGTGGGTGATGATTATTTGACGATATTTACAGGTACAGTGGTAGAGCTTGCGAAGCTGAATCCAATGATACCCGGTTTTAGGGACACGGGGCTTGTAGTTTTTGAGATATTTGATGGTAAAGTTGTTGATAGAAGGGCGGAAAGACGCGCCGGATAACAGCGCGATGCATCGTGCGTCAGGAGTGGGGAGAGCGCGCCGCGCGACGCGTCCTGGCAGGCCAGTTCGAGCCCCCCACTTTTCTCCGCTCCGTAGTATAGTTCTGGTACCGTGTGCCGGTACCGCTGCCAGCACGGAAACATCAGGGAGTGGGGGGAAGGTGGGAGAGACTCGACTCGGCTTACCTGAACGCGACGCGGCGACGTACCCCCACCTCCCGCCGTTTGCGATTTTCGAAGTAGCACAAGTCAACGAATGTCGTCGAAGAATATCCAGATCGAGGAAGAATATTTGCCCGTCGTGGGCATATAGTTCAAGATGATTTTGGATCGATTTAAAAATGGTACTCACGAGTTAGAGGTAGAGCGTGCCGACGCGTCGCGGTGCCACCACGGTGACAGCCAGGCGAGGTCCGCATTTAGTCGGCGGCAGTGGAGCTGCTGTTGCTGGCGGCGGGGTTTCCGGTCTGGTGCAGCCTAGTCCGCTTCCGCCGCGTAGCTCCCACACCAGGTTCGTCAGTGAACGCGGTCTGCTCAGACGCCGCGATCTGCGCGGACATGACATCATCGAGGATTAGCCAAATTCATTGAATTAAAAGATCGATTCTTTTTTGGCGAGAAAGTAACCTCCCTAGAATCGATTTTTTTTATGTGACTATTGAAAATCAATTTTTTGTCTTCTAAGAGGATTAAGTAGACGTTAATGCGCGAATAATGCGCGGTTCCTGCCATTTATACACGATTCTGTTTTCCTATTTATGGCCATTTTTATGAAAGCTGTTTTTACCACGGGTCATAAGGACAGTGTCTACGTTTGGTTCAATTCTAATTCAATTCAATTCTAATTCAATTCAATTCTAATTCAATTCAATTCAAATGCTAAATTTTGCGTTAATGTAAAATAACTAACTCCAGAATAACCTAAAACTTGTCTGTCAGTACTCTTAATACTCCAATTCAACTATAGAGCGCGACACAAGTTTGGCAACACCAAGATGGCGGATAACCAGGCAGCGTCGTCATTATGGTTCGTGGTTTCCGCATCGATTCTTTGATTTTGATATTCAAGAAGAAAACATGCGTTCTTACATGTCGATACCAAATCGATTCCTTAAGGTCAGCCGAACAATACCATTAGCCAGACATCTCTTATCGGACCTACCGGGTAATAACACATAACCTTAACAATAACCTCGACGTTTCTACAAACACGACCCGGATCTTACCACCTGTTTTGCCTCGCGTATCAAAGCGAATCAAACGACGCTAGAAAATCAACAACAACAACAACAACAACAACAACAACAGCAACAGCAAATATACCTTTTTTCCGGCAGCTTAGCGCCAGCACCAGAGTCCCCCGACGTCCTGCCCCCGGAATGGCTGGAGTCCAGCGTGCCGTCCAGCTCCATGGCCTGCTGCAGATTGGTCAGGCTCTTGTACCGTATGTTGAATAACGGCGAGCCGCCCTTGTAACCGGGCGGCATCTCCTTCAGAGGCGAGGCGCTCTTCTGCCTCATCAGCGGACGGCCCCTCTGTGTGCCGCTGTTCTTCACGTAGAGCTTGGCGAGCGGCGGCTTCTCGGCCCTCGGCTGGGGCGCCTCTTTGACCGCGCGCCTCGTCCTCTTCTCCGCCTGGATCTTCTTGGTCGGTATGGTCTCGATGGGCGGCGGCTCTGGTCTGTCGTCGAGGAGCGGCGCGACGGTGACGGTGACCGGGGTCAGGGGCGGGCTGGGGCCCTGGTTCGCCGGCAGGGGGCTCTCGTACGGGGACCTGACGCTCTTCGGCAGCGGCGCGAAGCCGCGCACGTAATCGTAGATCTGATCGATCTCGTCGTACTCCTCGGTGCAGGCGGACGGCGGCACGCGGTTCTCGTCCCTGTAGCCCGCGTGTCCCGGGCCCGATGAGGCCTGATGCCCGTTGCTGTGGTAGTGATGGTGGTGATGATGGTGCCCGGCGTTGTTCCTGTGATGGTTCAGGTTCGGCCCGTTGTCCGAGTTGGTGGAGGACCGCCTGAGGAAGCCGGTACCGCTTCTGGTCTGCCTGGACGGCTTGCTCTCGCCGAGGCGGCCGTCGAGCACGTGGGCCCGGTCGGCGACGTCGGCGACCAGCCGCGAGGCCCGGTCCACCAGCCTGGTGAACTCCTGCATCGACCGCAGCGCCTCCTCGTTCCGCGCTTTCACCAATTTGAGGGGTGCGGCGAGCGGAAGCGCCACCGCCGCGCCCTCCCGTTGCAGCGGCAGCGCGAACACGTGCTCCTCCTCGAAGGTCGAGAGCAGCCTGAGCTCCGGGACGAACTGGGAGGACGACTTCAGTCCCCTGGGTGGCTGGCCGTGTACCAGTCGCACCGTCAACGGCAGCCGTTTGCTGAGCAACGCCCGGGCGGTGTGCACGCCGCTGATGTTGTCCTCGCGCGCCAACGCGCTGAACCGGCCGCGTTGTTCCATACCGAGCAGCACGCTGTCGCCGCGGCAGTCGACGCAGCGCAGGAATCGGCCGCGGCTCGGCAGGCTCACCTCGCCCGCCGTCACGATCGTCTCCCCCGCGGCCAGCGTCCGCGTCCCCTCCGGCACCACTATACCCGTGTCGTCGTCCACTCGGCAGGCGATCCCGCGCACCGTCTCCCGCACCAGCGCGCCCTCTTCCGGGCACCGCCGGCACAGCTCGCTGACCGACTCGATGCCGCGGACCGCTCTGCCCTCTTCGCTCAGGATCTCGAAGTAGCCGGCGTACGAGTCCGGGATCGCCAGCCGCGGCCCGACCCCGACCACGCGGCGGCCCTCCTTGATCTTCACCGCCTGCGCGACGATCTTACGGCGGCGGCCCGCCGACACCAGCAACGCGGTGCTCTGCAAGCTGGGCGCCGGCAGCGTCGGCACGCCGAGCCCGCCGTACTGGCCCTTCGTGATCTTGATCACCGCTGGCAGTCGATACTTCGACACGAATTCACGAAGGTAGGTCGCCTCCTCGGCCCACCGGGCCGCCGCGACCACGATCTGACCGTCCGTCGCGGCCATCCCGGCGCTGATTCGCCGTCCACCCTAACGGACCGCAGGCCCCGGCGCACCCCAACCCCGATCACGATCCCACGCCGCCGTCACCTTACGCTGGGCCCGCCCAGGGCCCCGTACGATGTCTCCTCGCTACTGACAATCCTGCTGCACGCACGCCGTGCCTCTATGCTCCATCTAAAGAAACCAAACAGACAAATACCATGCGGTCAGTTTAATTTGACAGTCGACGGATGTCGCTGGTTGCCACGGACAACGGGGGCCGCCGAGTAAACACGAAGAATGCCGAACGACGCGACGGTTGCTCGTCTCGATGCACGTGATCGTTTACGACGCTGTTGGTGTGTAAGTATTCCGAGCTTTGTTCGATCAAAATTATCGAGAAGATTACTAGGGAGTACAAAATGTGGCTGTTGTATTGTTTATATTGAAAAGGAAGCTGTGTGTACGTGGGTCGGTAAAGTGGAGCGCGCTACTTCGACAGTCTACGAGTGCGACGCAATAATAAAGGCAAGATCATGGAGAGGCGCGAAGAAACTTTGCTTTTTTATCGGTTTCCAATTTTTATGAAGATAAACCTAGGACGCTCGGTACGTCGTGCACCGTGTAGTATATATGTACAGATAGTAGTATATATGTCACATAATCATGCTGGCATTCGGAAAGAGAGATTCCTCAGGTGATTTGAAGTAACTTTTTCCTTAGCGAAAATGCAATCGGCGGCTTCGTTTGCGAGTTATTAGCGAAAAATATTGACCAATCAGAGGCGAGTAGAGAGGCCGCCTAGCGCCAGCCGCGGCAATCAGCGGAACTGGTCTTCGACCGCGCGAGGCGACCGAGCCAATCAGCGGAACTGGGCTTCGCGCGCTCGTTGACTCGGCAGCCTAGCGCCAAGCAAGCTCAGCTCTCATTGGTCAGTATTTTACGTTAATGCGGATTACGTTTTCGCTAAGGAAAAAGTGAGGCTCGTGCCGCGAGGCTCGAACAATCGCATCCACCTTCTCCCAAATTGTCCACATTTGCTTACAAGCCGAGGGACAATCGTGGAGAATTTACTGTGCTACCCACCGCCCACCACCGCGGAGCGGAAGGGGAAAAAATAGGCGCGTCGCGTCACCGCGGCCGGGTGAATCATCGGCGGAGATGAGTCCCCGTTGGGCCGCGGGCCCACACGGAAGTCCGTTCCCCCGATCCCGCGTCCCATTCTAACGATCCCCGGGCAATTTATCGCCGCGGCCGTGTGAAAGGCCCATTCAGAGTGTAACGTGGCTGGATATCGAGGGGATAATGAAATCGCGCGGTGAAAATCGAGCCGTCTGAAAGGGGCCTTCAAGATGGCCCGCAGCCGGCCCCGAGATAAGGGGACCGGGGTGACCAATGACCCGGGGCGTCGTGACAGGCGCGCCTCTAGGAAGTTATTCGACACACTCCTCTCTGTCCCGCATTCTCCTACACGCTCGTCCCCCGCCGCCACTGCCCGCTCCCCTCGTCCACCGCTTTCCTCCGGCAGCTTCGCCGTACGCCGCCTCGTTCTGCGACGCACAGCGGGCCGGGTCGAAGATTTTAGTGACTTTTTGACAAATACAATTTTTATTGCTTGTTAAATGTCCTCGAAAATGAAAATATTAATAAAAGTGATCGTAAGACATTGATCACTTGATCATTGACAATTTAAAGTTGGATATTTTGAACATTAGATTTGACAGCAAAAAATATGCCTCTTTGCCTCGCAATGTGCTGACGAACCTACCTAATTTTTTCCTTTGCTTTTCTTTTCACATTAAGAGGCAATATTTCTCGTTAAGAAACAGTAGTTTAAATTAAGATTATTGTATTCTATCTATGAAAAGTATAATATTTCATGAAAGACGAAAAAGTGTAAAAATTCTTTACGTTTGGCAAGGAATATCTTTTGACGGACAATGAGTCACGGTTTCGGACAAAGTATACTTTCCCTCTAGGTAACTCTGTAATAGTTATGTACCAGAACGAACAAGATCGCAAATCATAACAATTTATAGATATCAGCGTTGCGTTACTTTCGAGGTTAGAGCTGTCGAAGATGATCTCTCAGTGTTCCAATCGGTATTACATCACGCTTCTTTATCCGTAAATCGACTGATATTTAAGATACTAGATTATTCCTTATAGCGTGAAATATCTAAATGAACGAAACAGACTGGTAACTTGCTAAAATTCGCAGGCATTTCGACTGGAAAAGTCGCGACGTTGAGCCTCGACGCGATCCTCGAACGAGCGTCCGCGTCTCCGCGCATGCGCGCCGGCTCTCACGGCGGATTCTAGCGGCCGGCGCTGCGGCGCTGCTCGATGCAAATTTGTATTGGAATTTTTGCCTGGGAACGGTGCTTTGATCGAACGCAGGAAACCGTTAAGTTCCTTCGCGGCGTGCGTGTTCCACCGTGATAAGGCGATTACGCGATACGGGAACAGACGGATCGCGCTGTATCTGATACACGACGGGCCCGGCCCGGCCCGATCCGGCACGGCTCGTCCCCGGCCGATGGGAACGGGGATCCCGTGCCTCTCCGGAGGAGACATCTCTCTCACCTGCGCAACGGATTCTCATCGCTCCTCGCCTTTTTACCGCGCCGCGGTGCCCTTCCCAGCCCCGGCGAACACACGTTAACGCGCGGTTACATTTTATTCGTGAGCTCTCTCGCTGCTCGAGGTAAATAGTAGGATATTAGACAGCTAATTTATCAGCCGATGGACGAGTCGACGCGATCGCTGTCCAAATCGCGGCATTTTTTTTTTTAGATTTCAGTAATATGTGCATTTATGGTTTTTAGTGTGCGACGATGATAATGAGAATTTTATGCGTTTGGGGTTAGAGTGACTGAAGGGATCAGTATATTACTATATATATTAATAATATGTAATATTATTAATATATAATATAACATATAATATAATATAATATTAATAATATATTATATAATAATATTATATAATACTATATAACACATATTAATAATATTACATATTATTAATATGTAAAGATATTAGACAAATTTCGTAACGTTGCTGTCTTCTTCTCAGTTTATTGAAATATCGAAAAACTGACCAATCAGAGGTGAGATCATTTGACGCGAGACGGCCGAGCCAATGAGCGGAACCGGGCTCCACGCACTCGTTCGCTGGGCCGCCGCGCGCCAGCCGAGCTCGCCTCTTATTGGTCAGTGTTTTTTCGTTAATAACTCGTAAACGAAGCCTCGGAGAAAATTTTCGTAAAGGAAAAAGTTGCTTCAAATCACCTCAGGAACCTCCTATTTCCGGATTACAAGAGACACATTTTCGGAACACCCTGTATATACGTGCGAATGCGAGCGCCGCGGAGCGTCGAATGTTTTTTCAGTCTCGTCCGAGCAACGTGCAAGTTCTTATTTCGTAAATCGCATAGGCGTCGAGAACTAGCCCGAGGGAAATTCACGGTAGCCCGAAATTTGGCGTTTCCGGGAGAAATTACTGTTAATCGCGGGCGTGAAACTATTGATTGGAGTCGGTGGCAAGCGACGAAGCGACCGCGATTTATATAATCGTCCGGACGATATCCGATACGGTTAGTATACATAGACCTCCTCCGCGCCGGAGGTAACACGGAAGCGTCCAGGCTCCGCCGTGGAGATAGTTATGAAGGGGGGGGGAGGGCGCTGTTCCCAAGAACCGCGTTACGGAATAACCGACGTTGCGGAATTTCCGTGCCGATCGGCATAACCGTGAAGCAATTCGTCCGGGGGAATCGTTTAATGCGGGCCGCCGCGCCGCGATGCTCGATGCTCGATGGCCGAGTCACGATCGTTACTTTCCTCCGACGTGATATACGCTTTGGAGAAATCCGAAACAATCGGCGGCACCGCCCATTTACGTGGACTCCGGGCGCCGGGTGTGCGCTCGTTAGGTAACCGGGCTTCGAGATACAACGCCGCCCCCTTCCTCTGCTCCCCCCGGCAGAGGGAGCTCCCGTCGCTCGGATCGTTCGGCTCTACGCCTATGACGCGCGGACGCCGTCGTGAAGCACGGTAAATTCTCTCCGATTGTCCCACGGCTTGTGAACGAAAGTGGAGAATTTTGGAAGAGGAGATACGATTATTCGAATCGATTTTACTTTTTTTAGTTCGTGTAGCTTCGAAGTTGACTCAACCTTTGCCCTGAAAAATTTCGTGACATTCAAGTATTTTAGTCGATGATTAATTTTATTCGCGAATTGAAATTACTTCTTCGACGTCGTTTAATAAAATTAATAAATTATGATGTCGTATAGCGTAGGGATTAATTTTTTGAAATTAACCAGTTAGCTGTGTTTGATTATATATCGTTAACTTTTACAAGCATTCGCTTTTTCCTGGGTTTTTCGTTTATTATGTACGCAGTATATGTTACTGTTAAGTGAATAAGTAAATATTAGTATAATAGAATTGTTAATTTTATAAAATAACACTGTCTTTTTTAGCCGATATTTTAACAGCAACGGATTCCTGAGGTCGTTCGAAGTAACTTTTTCCTTTACAGAAATGTTCTCCGAGGCATCGTTCACGTGTTATTAACGAAAGAACAGTGACCAATGAGAGGCGAGAGAGTCGGCTGACGCGCGGCGGTCCAGCCAACGAGCGCGCGAAGCCCAGTTCCGCTCCATTGGCTCGGCCGCCTCGCGCGGTCGAAGTCCAGTTCCGCTGATTGGCTCGGTCGCCTCGCGCGGTCCAGCTCCGCTGATTGGCTATTCTTTTCGGACACCCTGTATAAGTGCGCGCTCTGACAAGGAGGCGCCACAGCTAACCGTTTAATTTGTTACGGATCACATTACGTTCTTTCGAAAGTAATAATTGAACAATTGCTTTTCTTGCCGAAAAATGCCGCAATACAGCGCGACGGGTTAAACAAAAAGTTCTGAAAGCGTGGGGCGAGGGTCACCGAATCGGATTCCGGGGTCGGGCGGGGCCTGTAGAGCCAGGTCAGGCGAGGGGTCGGCGGGTTGGACGGAGGGGCCGATTAAAACCGAGGGATCGCGTTCGCGTAAATCACTGCGTGTGTGTCCCTCCCTCGATCGCGATCGGATCGCGTTCCCCGCGATTTTTGCAGACGGTGGCGCATTCCCGGCCGGAGTAGCGTTCCAGTCGCGATAAAGGCGACACAACGAGCCCCCGGCTTGCAAAGGGAGC